GCCAGTTGAGCTTACTGGGGCCCAACAACAGAAAAGGGACAAAGGAAAGGAGTGACGATCAACGCGTGGAACGAAGGTGAGTGAGGACGGTTATATGATGGTCGGCGCACGTCGGCCAAACGTCGAATTCTGTGCCAATACAATATGAACAAATTCCGTGGTTTTAGTCCCCATGTGAACTATAATGACCGCCACTTGTCGGCGAAGTTAGTGCCAACTTTATCAGATAGAGGGTGTTGTGTGGTCAGCGCAACGAATCCCCACAGTCGTTAATTTCGGTTTTCTAGACCACAGCCGCTATTTCCTTGAAATATCTCTTCAATTATCCTCACGAGGATGAGTGGACCCTTTTCCAGGCCCACTACCTCTCAGAAAATCTGGTAGCGCCAGAAATCGAACCCGGACTTCTGGATCTGTAACCAGGAACTCTGCCCACTAGACACACAGAGGCAGTCTGTGCTAATACAGTAAATACAGAGATTTAAAATCTCCTATTCACTGATCATAAAATATTACCCCCATATCAAAATATGGCTGCCACCTATTGGTGCTGGGACATCTAAAACCGATATTCCCTGAATATAAAGTTATTTTCGGTTCACATCCGGTTATACAAACAGATCATAAATTACCTCTTTTTATTCTGAATATACATTTTATACCACAGGACTTAATGAAATGAAGTTTTCACAAAGGAGAGTAAAAAGTATGCAAGTAAGCACACTTCAGTAAGTACACTCGTTGCAGACAATTCTCCTTCCCTCTTCCTCCCTCCTTCCCAAAAGGAAACCCTATCACACCAATGTGCCACCAATTTCTCTCTTCTACGCCTTATAACACAGACCCTGATTGTAACCCCACCATATGAATTACTGCAGTATGACATAGCAGGACACCCAATGGCCTTGGCTGAATGAACGTGCTTTCCTACCGTCAACCAAACAATTTATATACTCATACCTGCAAAAGCCAACCAAAAGTCACACATTGCACAGCTGATACTGCATAAAGAACTGAAAAACAACGCAGCACATTCTGTTCTATGATACAGCATGAAAGACTTGTACTCCATGTAAATAATAATAAAAAAAATCAATTAATTTTTTTAACTTTTAATTTTAACTCTTAACCAAGTTATAACGTTTTACATTTTATTACTATTATCCAAAATATAACAACATACAAGTATTTTATTTAAATTCATACCAATGATTACGAAACAGAAATACAATCAATAACAAATACCGTATTTACGCATGTATAGGCCGCAGCACAATTTTCAGACAGAAATTATAGAAAAATTATTTTCTTGGAATATTATTTCAGGAGTAGAACACCCAGTATTACTAATTATGAATATATATTTTTTTAAATGAAGTGTGATTTCGAATATTTCGAATATAAGCCGCACCCCAGTTTTCCTCTTGAATTTTTGGCAAAAAATGTGCGGCCTATACATGCGTAAATACGGCAGTATATTTCATTTAAATTTCCTGATGATGATCCAGCTAGGTCGAAATATAGCAAATGTACATAATAAAACAAATGATAATACAATAACATTAATTATTTATTACAAATATGTTTGTTGATGGTTGCATAATAGTACTATAGAGCACAGTATGCCCATCCATCAAGAAAAAGAAATGTTTAATAGTCAGATGAATGTAACGAGGAAATGTCTGTTTTCAGGGTTTAGCTCAGGTGGGCTCCAGAACCGGCCTGAAAATTATGGAGAAGAGAAAAATCTCCTGCCCCTTGCCAGGAATCAACCCCTAATTCCTCCATCATCCAGCCCATAGCCTAGTCACTATACTAACTGAGCTATTCTGGCAGAAGAAGAGGGATATAGTATAAACAGCACAGCGGGCCAAGAAATCATAATGGACTATAATAAGAATCTCCTTACTCAAGTTACATAGGCGGCACAACATCAGCCACCTAGAAGAGAGACAACAGGGGTTATTGACACGAACCGTAAGGTTTATGAATTTTAATTTTGAACAAAGTTTTTAAAACTTTAAAACAACTTTAAATATTTCTATAACCAGAAAGGCTACTGTGAGTGATAGATGGAACATTGTGTACTTGGCAATACATGTGTATTTGACATGACAACTGTTGTGATAGTGGTTTCTAAAAAGTGTTTGGTGCCTCTGAAGATGATCCAAATGGATCGAAACATGTGAGGCTAGTGAATCATCAAGTGAGAAAACTGAAATAGTCACACTGGACGGACTTGTCTTTTATAATTTATAATTGTACGGATATATCAGATTTCCACTTGGAAAAAAGTAAATTTTCTATGCTGCTTGTTACAATACCAATTTTGTTTTTGGGTACAGATGTATACAGATGTACCACCTACTCCAATCACAAAAATATGGGAAACTATCGAGTATATATCAAGACATCAAATAGAACCATCTTTAACTTAGATTCTAAAGGGTTCTGATGATTGTGCATAACACTCAAAATTAATGGGTTTTCAGACTTTGTCCATTGTCAAGTATTCTAAAAACTACAAAACACAACATTTTGGAAACTGATTCCCTTAGAAAGAGCTAACTTCAGTTACTGGATCACAGTGATCCAGTGATTAAGGTTAGCTCTTTCTAAAGGATCCAACAGAGCAGGTGTGCTCCCCCTCACCTGAGGACAGAAACAGATCAGTTTCCAAAGTGTTGTTTTCTAGTTTTTAGAATACCAGATGATGGACAAAGTCTGAAAATCCAGTAATTCTGTGGGACTTTAACTTAAACTGCTAACAACGATTTCTCAAGTAAATCAAATATAGGAAGACTCCAATATTTCCAAAGTTATACTTGCCTGTCACATCATATATTGCACTGTACAGAGCATTTCTCTCAGTATCAAACTGTCTGTCTTACCACTGACCTGTTGGCTGGAACCTTAGCCATCAGCTCCCAAAGAAACAGAGTCTAGGCTGGCATCCAATATTATAAACACAGACACGCATTTCTTCAAGTAAATTAACTGTTTGAAAGAACCCACCATCACAGCAGAAGCATAAAATGTCTCTAGTGTGCTCTCAAATAAATTTCAAGATTCTTGAAAAGAATGTCTGACACTAGTCTGAGTCCACAGACTCGATTCAATACAACTGTTTCCCACATTTTGTGCCAGAGTTCCTCCATCGTGTATAGATTATTTGAACAAACTTTGTTTTTTTAATTCCCTAGAGACAAAAACCACAGGGATTTAATTCTGCAGGGAACAATCTGACACTTGTCAGCATGCCTTCAAACACTTCTAACAAAATATTAATGGAATAATTAGCAGTATACTGTAGCAAAATCTTGCATATAATAACCATGTACCACACTAAGAAAATGGCCACTGAAGTGTGTATTTCACCATTTCAATTCAGTACTGCAAATGAGCAAACGAAACAGCCTGAATGTATTACATGTACAGAAACATGAGGATGACTGATACAATTTGCAATGTCACTTGCAGGTGGAGTCATACAGCCATAAAAGATAAGGAATAACTGTGTACCAATACAGATGACACAATATCTAACGATCCATTTATTGTTGGAAGGACATTCGATTACAGGTTATTTGTTTTCTGTCAGGGTAGTCAAATTTGGCCATTCAAGAAATGCACTGCAGAAGACAGATGATATAGCTCAGCATTGTCTTGAAGTAACTGCCTATCCCCCTCGTTGGTGTCTCCACCTTATCGTGGTGAGGGGGTTTGAGTATACCAAGGACCCTGAGAGCTATACCAGTGGTAGCGTAGCTACTGGCAGGGCCTCCCTTGCTGGACAGGTCAAAGGGTAGGCATCAGACAAAGAGAGACGCCAAAAACTGATGCCGGAAGCAGCGTCATCAGCACCGACTTGAATCACAGAGCAAATGATGCTTGAAATGGTTCAAGTTCGTATAGCAATGGGCGTGACCAGAGTGGTTTGAACGGCTGTTGTACTGCAATGTGGAAAGCAAATGGAAAAACTACCATATTATCACTCTTCCTGGATAGTCTCTTTCCAAAAACAGAGATACCATGTATGCGAGATGCTTCCTCTGGAGACAAAACAAATCGGAGGGGCGCATAGAAATGACCAGAAGACGAGGAAGAAGATGTAAGAAGATGCTGGATGACTTTTGGGACAGAAGAGGATATTTTTATTTTATTTGAAGGATAAAGCATGTGATCGCATTAAGTGGAGGAACTGTTTTCGAAGAGACTGTGGACCTGTCGTCTGACAGATTACTGATGAATGAATGAATGAACTGCCTATGCAGTAGTGTCGCTGGTTGAGGAACTATGCTACAATCCAGAAGGTCGGCGGGATCGAATCCCGATGAGGTGGATTCTTTCAGTTTACCTAATCCTTCCAGCCACGCTATGGCCCTGGGGGTGACTCAGCTTCTAAAAGAAATGAGTACCAGGAATACTATTGGGGGTAAAGGGCAGCCAGCATGTAAGGCTGACAAACTTACTGTCATCTGTGAGCCGACTGTCTAGAAAATGTGGGAACCTCAACATTTCACTTCCCTATGGGCCCCCATGGCCTGTTACAGGGATAGCTTTACTTTTACTTACTTTAACTGTCTAAATCGTTAAAGTCCAGACTCATTGGTTCTGTCATTCATTTGTTCATTCTTATTCTCCTCCTTCAGTATTATTACCGAGTAATGTGGTACAAAGCCGGTCCTACCAAATGTCTAAGATCTAGTAAACTAAAGTGAAATGGAGAGTTTCATGGAGGTAGGCCAAGGACCAAATTGGGGCTGTAGCGACAAAAGAAAAAAGAAAACATGGTGCAAATGCTAACACATATTGTTAAGGCAAAAATGTCTAGTAATTTAGTTATTTTTATGTTAAAGTACACTAATATTGAGATTACCATTAACATTTAAAAAAACCTTGAAGCTTTCTATCATGAGCTGGAAATACATACAGTAGATTCATTTGCACCATGTTTTCAAATACAACACATTATGATCAGGCACTACAATGCTACTTACTGTTTCAAACGTTGTACGCTAGCTTGTCGAGCCCATTTACTACATCCTCGTCCTGAAAAAAATTATGTCAAAATTCATTAATATTTTTTAAAATTTAATAACTACTGTTTGTTTGATCTTGTGCTTGTGCATCACTAAGTTGCAAAACCATTACTCATCCTCAGTACCTTTATCCTAATCACTTTAATCTAAAGATGGCAGTCTCCTTGGAGGTGACTAATACCTTTTGTCTGGTACCTGGTTACCAGCATTTCACGGGAACCTACCACCTGCACCTTCAGGCATAAGGCAGTTATGTGAGTGGAGAAATCAGTATGTAACACGGGGAGTGTGCAATGGGACAGGGCTATTAGCAATCTATTCGAAGCAGTTTCAGATATGGGGAAAAGAGAGGAAGGAAAAGAAAAAAAAACAGGAGGAGATGGAAATAGAGGAAAAGTTGGAAAGAGAAAGAACAGAAAGATCAGGATTAACAGGTTTCTGTACTTTCTTCACTATCCAGTGCTTCGGAAATGGATCTGTTTCCATTCACCATGGAGACCAAAAGACATGACCACCTTCCTTTCCTTGACACAAGAGACCTGATGGCTCTCTGGGCCATTAAGTGTACCATAAATCTACCCATATAAACCTCCATATAAACTCTAGTTCTCATCACCACCCATGCAACAAGCATGCCATACTTTCCACACTGGTACACAGGGCTAGAACTCTGTGTGATCAAGACAGTCTTTGTGTGGAGGTGGTATTCCTGGGGTACACTTTCAGGCAGAATGGCTACACCAACCAGAAGAGTGGCAGGGCTCTCAAATCCCACACCCCCCAAGGTTGCCCTGACAAAAGCTGCATTCAGGGACTTTCTTGCCTTATGTCAGGCTGATATTCAACAGCATCAGCAGTCTATCAGCTCAACATTAAGCTGGTGGGCTTCTCTCCCAGGAAATATCTAGTTTTCTTCGGCCAGTCAAGGACAACCTTGGACTGAAGATGATAGAAGTATACAGTGTCCCCTGAGAGTCTGGCAAGGTCTATACCAGACTGAAGGAGCACCAGTGACATATCCGTCTGGAATATCCAAATAAGTCGGCCATGGCAGGGCACAGTATCAACTTGGAGCACTGCATCCAGCTATGTCACACTGCCGTCCCCTCTGCCAAACCCTGATACATGGATCGCATCAGCAGGAAGGTGAATAAGATTGAGCTTCATCCCAACAGCATGAAGAGGGAGGATGGCTTCTGAGCAAGTCATGGAAACCTCTCATCTGCTCCCTGAAATATTGTATGAAGCCTCTAACTGTATTCTCTGCTTGACCATGCAGGTCCATCCACAGTGCCCTTATCAGGGCACAAACTATGCCCCCTCCAGGCACTCACCAGCCTTCACCCTGATGTCCTGGCTTCCTTCCGCTACCTCTGCTCCCCCATCACATACCAGCGACTAACTCATTTCACATCCGTTTCCTTTCCAACATACCCTTATTCTTTTTCCTGTCTACTTCCTAGCAAAACAAACCGCCCCATTTCAGGGCCTCATAAACTCCTCACCTCCTACTGGTTCACTTGGTGGTCTTGTGAGAGCCCAGTGGTTTCATTCTGCCTCACAGGCAAGCCAATGGGTACTGAAGATTCCTCTTCCATTTCCCTTCTGCTTCCTATATAATCCACAACTTCTGGATGGCTGATTGGTTGACTTGCCACCTGCTTTCACACTGGCATCTTGCTCCGCTTATTCGACCACGAACATGAAAGCGATGTTCTTCCAAAATTCTGATTGACTTTCAACAGACTACATGGCATTATATCACAACCACTGCTGTGAGAACATCAAAACTAAGTGAGTCTGAAGCGGCCTCCGTAGTCTAGAGGTAACGTTCCCACCTCATGACTCGTAGTACGTGGGTTCAAATACCCGGCGGAGGTCGTCGAATTTTTAAGGGCGGAAAAATTCAGGGAACATGTCCTCTGGGAGGGACTTTAAGTTGTGTGTCCCGTGTCGTAACTTTACGGCACGTAAAAGAACCTCATATCCCCAAAGGGGATCACTGAGCCAAATTCCAGGACGTTTCCCGCCCAACAATAGCCTCTAAGGCCTCTGATAGATGGGGGAAGCAATATAGACACCGCTAAGCAGGCCGAACTCGCTTGCTCGGCGGGACTGATGGTACGCACCATTTATCGGTAAGGTAAAGACTCTGGTAGAATATCATAGAGGGAAGCACAATAGATCAAACTGGTCGCGGTGCATGGGGAAACCCACCCTCTCTAAATAAATAACTAAGTCAGTCTGACCTCAGAACAAGCCTTCCATTGTTTCTTTAGGTTATGGATGAGATGTTTCCTTGACTTCATCAGAGATAGGTCATCCTTTATCACAGCTCAATCTCAGTTACCTCTCTGATAATGTAGTCCATGTGCCTGCATTTTCCGCTAAGCATAATGAAGGTGGATGTGATAATCTCAGTTGATGTCATATTCTGCTATGGCTGATTTATTAGCAATTTGAAAAACTGCCCTTTCAGGAAAAATGGCTCCCACTGGACTGCTTGCAACCTTGTTCCAAATTCCTTTCCTTATATTACTTACAGATCTTCCCCTTGTCTCACTTCTACAATGATAATGGTAGCAACAAGTACAATCAAAACACTAGTAACTATTTGACAGACTACACATCATCACTTCCCAGAAGACTGCAGTCTTAACATTCACAAAACATGAGAACCTCAAATATAATGTTGAATCTATTTAACACAGATCTGTTATGTTAATTTCTTTATCACACATTTTCTCTGAACACCTACACAGTAATTTCAGAAAATTATATTCATATAACGTTAATTTATGTTTCTTTCACATGTCACAGAGATTCATCCACTGAAATCATAGTTCAATATTTAAAACTACTTGAACTAAACAGAGCAGGCAACTTTAGAGGCATGTCAGCTTCTAAGGCTACGCTGAAAGTACAAAACAGGAGAAGGATATGTCAGACTTTAAACAATAGAAATCCAAAGTTGAACTCCTAAGTTATTTACAAAGTGATGGAACATTAAAAAGTAATAAAAACATCAGGGTATATAGGGGCTTGTCACTGAGATCATAAAAACATGCTATTAGGCAACATGCATACAAACATTTCTGCAGCTCACTTGAAAAACATGAAAAATCCAAGATTAATGACGGCATAAAATCCTTATACACTTCCAAGGCACTAGACACATCACTGCAAATTATACCCAAGGATGTCACATAACACAGTGTGGCAGTAAGTTGTACAGCATTCATCATGACATTTCTCAGAATATGCAGAATACTGAGGAGTATTTCACAAGATGTACAGAAGGGTGCCAATATCCATGCAATAAATGTGATGTACTTTTGTCACTTTTCTAATCACCTTTATATGCACAGAGTATATAGTTGTGCAAATAAAGGCGATTAGAAAAGTACATCACATTTTTTTTTAATTTATTTTGTAATACACTGAGATAAGTGTAATATATGGATCTACAGAGGAGTGGCAATTTAATGGTAAAAAAAACTTGTTAATTGTATCGCCTGTGGATGGCTCTATGAGCCGAAACATACAGTGACACCATTTCTAGACTAGTAAAACTCACCTGTATGCAACAAAGTGTGAGTTATTTGGTGAACTGTTGTGTTTGACAGGGATTAATATAAAAAAATTATATACAGTATAAACACACAACAGGATGCATCCCACAAAGAAGAATGTTAAACATGTTGCATATTCTGCTTGGATTTGAGACTGTTTCTTTTTCCACTTGTAGGTGTATATTAGAAGTCAATGTATTATTCAGAGAGCCTCATTCTCTATTTACCGATTTCCACAATAGTTTAGGAGTGTTATCTGAACTAGTTATAATATGCTGAATGTTGTTCATTTTTGCAGTTTTTATTACAACATTGTATTCTTCTTTATATGTTTCATACTTATCCCTATGTTCCTGAATCTCACTTTGCATATGGGGATCTAATAAATTGTTTAGTTTCGTTCTTACTGTAACAAACCCATTATTTATCTAAGGAACAGTCAAAGAACTTACAATATTTCTTCTAACTTTTGGACAAGCTAAATTAAAATAATAGTGTGGTATGCAGAGACCTGCTGCTAAGCAACTATGTAACAACTGATGCTAAGTAATGGCTCTGCAAACGAGCCTGTTTCCATCGCACCAATTGCACTGCAACCGAGGAACAATGTTTGTCGGTGAATGACATGTTCAAAGTAGTTGCAATGATATTTCAGCATATCATGATAGAGCTCAATGGGGCCGAGTTAAAAGAAGTCAGAATAATGGCAATCATAAAAACTGAATTAAAACTCATGAAGTAAAATGGCCACTAAGAGTTCATAGGTGGTAAATACAACTGCGCTGGCAAGGGCCAGCAGTATTTGTAAACGAGACTTGTCCTCTCATCAGAGGTGGTGCCCCACATCAACAAACCTGTAACTGTCTGACAGTAACAAAAATCTGGTTTCGGGCTGTCAGCCAATCAGAATCCAACATATTAAAAACAAACATGAAAATACCAGAAAAACATCAAATTATTCTTGCACTGCCAATTACTGCTTACGGCCCTTCAGAAACAGATGAAAAGTCAGGGAGATGACTGTACAAAAGAATTTTATATATGACACAGAATAAAGCTGCAACACTATTAGGAGACCAACTGAAAAGTGATATTACATAATTAACCTTGAACAAAGGAATGAGAGTTCAGTCACAAATATCATAAGAAAAATTTACCTTGGTGAGAAGCTCTTGGATTCACGCTCACCTGAAAGTAAGAAAAAAAAAGTCATTCATCACACTGAATCTAGGTAATATGACTGCTCTACTATCAGTAAATTCTAACAGTGCCAGGCTGCACAAAGTGGTTTACATCTTGCATCTCCAAGCAGCAAATATTTTGATTATTATTATTTGATAGTGGTATTTTGACATCAAGGTTTGAGACAAAATTTAAGTGTTGGAAAACCTTTAAGAAAACTTCAGAACTGGACAGATTCTTCAACAGGCCACACACGAAGGAGTAAGTTACGAGTTCAACGGCACTTGCTGAGGATGTCTCTGATGGCAGAATTTGATACTAACAACACTGAATCTTCAGATTCCACTGCTTGGAAGCTAATCAGTCAGATAACAAGTTAATAAGTGAAACAGAAAGATTCAATACATTCTTAATGGGTAATCAATGCTGCATGCAAATCTGCCACACTCATTAAACACAAATGCTAAACTGCAGTGAGTAATTTCTTCTCTCCTTTCTAATTCATCACTCGTACACCCACTGAGGTAATCATACTTTACAACACTGCAAGTCACATACAGTTCTGTTCAAGATGTGTCTGAGTGCAGCATTAAAATTAAATATGTTTAACAACAAAACAGCATTTCTGTATCATACTTATCACTGGCAGTTCCCTAAGAATCCTCATACTACAAAAACATATCAGCAAAGGTCTCCACCAAATTAAGATCATCAAACTGAGGTTAATAAGATGGAGGGGGCATGCAGCATGCATGGGAGGGAAGAGATGCACACAAAGTTTTAGTTTAAAAAAAATGACACGAAGAGACCAATTGGAAGATATATGCATAGATGTTGGGATAATATTAAAATGGTTCTTAAGATGTAAGTTGGGACAGTGTAGACTAGACTCTATATTTCAGTATCCCGTTGCAATTGTTCACATCAGCGTCCATTTGCCTATATCCGTCTAAATTGCAACACTTGTTTTACACTTCAATATTATATTCTTTAACACCTGAAGATGGCCCTTTGAGGCCGAAACACGTAGTGTTAAGTGTTAAAGAATATACTGAAGTGTAAACCAAGTGTTGCAATTTAGATGGATATAAACAAATGGACGCTAATAGACTAGACTCATCTCGCTGAGGATATTGACTGGTGGCCAGATCTTGTGAATAAGGTAATGAATCTTCGGGTTCCACAAAATTCTGGGAATGTCTCTGCTTGTCAACTATCAGCTTCATAAGAACTCAGCTCCATTTAATTATTTAGTTGTACTAGAAAAGTTCTATACAGCAGTCTTGGTGCTGGACATGAGCAAGATGACTCAGACAACATGTCTGACTTGTATTCAGGAGGTGCTCGGCAAAATCTCAGCCTTGTTCACTGACTACTCTGAGTTTTATGTTGTTTTCCTCATTCCCTCCACACAAATACCAGGAGAGTACCGTACCCCTGTAAGTCTTTAACACGATACTAATTAATTGCATAGAGATAAGTCATTCCTGAGAAGCTGCCAGTCACTCAGCTACTCAAGAACTTCCCAACATTTTATGGAACCCAAAGACTCATTAATGTATTCATAACAGTCTGCTACTGGTCCCTATCATGAGCCAGATCAATCCATTTCATACCACTCCAGCCTACTTCTCTAAGATCCACTTCAATATTATCCTCCTGCCTACATCTACGTCTTCTTTAGTGGTCTCCTTCCTTCCAGCTTTCCCACAAAAATCTTATTTGCATTCCTCTTCTACCCTGTGTGCTACATGCCCTGTCCTTCTCATCCTCCTTGACTGCAACATTTCAATTATATTTGGTATATTTTAATTTTTACATTTTTAGGCATAAGAAAACAAAAACTACTGGACTGAACTGAACTTTGGAAAGCATTATCCAGTTCTTTAATGTGATACAGCCATTTTTAGGTTACTGTCCTAAAACTGAAATGTGATTAAATTTATGCCATCTTCTAGTACCATACAATGAGTATTTTTACATCCATTGACACAATTTCTTATAAAAATATACAATTAGATCATATGTTTATCAGAAATTGCTGTGTCAATGGACGTAAAAATATACAAATATAAATTATATTTTTACAAGAAACTGTTGTCGATGTATGTAAAAATACTCGATGTACATGACACACAACACATGACGATTCTAGTACCGTGTTTCTCACCTATTTGATTGCCCCCTCCAAGAGGGTTACTAAGGATAATGTGGAATTTCAGGAAAGGTGCTGACCACCTTTAAGGTGATAGCATACAGCAGCTATATATATATTCCCAGGACCATGACTGTGAAGATTACTGTCCTTTGGGATGTGACACCATGCAGTTTTGTAAATAAACTGATGTTTTCAAGGGATGCATAATACATCTTCCAAAACAACAACATTGTCTCAGACTACAGTGGAATTCCATTTAATGTTCATCAATTTAAGGTTTTCCTTCTCTTTACATTAAATGTCAGAGACTGTAAGTCAATAATCTGAGTTTCTTCCATTCGGCATACAAACCCACTGTTCCCCAAAGAAACTTTAAATTGGGTTGTAATTATACATAAACAAAAGGTAATGCTGTCCCTGTGCTTAACTAATTAAACACTATGTCATGTAGGTGTCTGAGAGAGTGGATGTATAGATCCATGCTTTCTTGGCCTTGGCACTAGCTGGAGATGAGCGGTCAGCTTCAAGCCCTGACTGCTTTACCCTTGGGGAAAAGCCTCCGGTACCCACTGGATGGGAGGCTGGGTGGGCCTCAGAGCTGGTCTGGAGGACATGAAGAAGAGAAAATACTCGACCCTACTGGGACTCGAACTCTGACCCCTCGGTCATTCAGCCTGTAGCCAGTCGCTATAACAACTATGCTCAAATGACAAACTGGAAAAGTTTTGGAATAACATGGTTGTGGCCTATTTGAGGTATTACCAAAGCATCTGTTCAGGCTGAAGATAACCATGAAAGCCCACAGTCAAGTTTTTCAGTGAAGTACCTGTAAATATAAATCTAGACTGTTACCACCATTCCAACCTGATCAGTTGTGAAAATTGTCAAACTTAAAAAGTTCAACCTATTTCAAAGAGGAATGTCATACAAGATTCAATCAAGTCAGCAATATTACATGTTGGATTTGTGGTCATCACAGCAGTGACTATGAAGAATACGATCTTGTAGGTTGTGTAACACAGAGTAATACAGAGTGAGGCCAAGAGCTTGCCACCTAGTTCTTCTGGTTTCTTGCTTGGCTTACTCTTCATCCCCAAAGATGGATATTGGGCTCTCTTGAAACTACACGCCATTACAACCCAGAAGACTGTGTGTGCCCTTCAGCAATATTATTTGTTTAATCATATGAAGACTAAACATGTTTTACTTATTCCACTATAAGATTGTTAACAGAAGTAAATGAGAACATGCTCCAAACTGAACCAAATCCTTCCACACATTTGTTAATGATGAGAAATAGATGGCATATACACTTCCTCACACACACGGTACAATCCTATCTTCTCAATCCAACCATTATCTCCACATAGCACAAAAGAGGGGCTATTACAACATGACTAGAAAACCAAAAATCATATGCTATTGGTACAATTCATTCTCATCCACTCCCTTCTCCAAAATAACCCCTATATTTTGTAATATTTATCATGGATCCAAAGAGTGTCTGATTGTCACTTGGTGTCAGCTTGTCTAGCCCACCACTATTTCGGTCTACACCACTACACTGCATTCTTCTTCTTTTCTTGACATTGTCAGGGCAGACCCCACTACTTGCTTCTCATAGCACACTGTGTCTCCATACACGAACACTTTATGTAAGTCATATCTAACAATGAGACTCAACTAAACTGCACAACTTGTGAACTCCACAACAATTTTACTAATTTTAGAAACACTGGGTTGGCAGCATTGGCCGGATGGTCTGAAAACAACTTGAAGCCAACAGTAAGGTGGTGAAATCATGAAGAATCCAGAGAGCCATATGCATATGCTCCCACCTCCCCTTGTTCAAGCAACCATACCTGCACTGCCAAAAACTTTCCAGAGCCTAGAATGATTCTGCACCATTCCCAAGCCCACACATGAACTTATATTTCAAACAGTACATCATAAACATTTAATGACATAAAGGCTCTGCATTTAACATCAATATAAGTCAATAAAATCTACAAAATCAATTTTAACATCATCTTTCCATCTTCATCTTGGTTTTAGAGGACACTTTTTAAATATTTCTCATCAGAATGACATAGCACTATATTCCTTGCATCATACAACCCAATCATACATTCAGCTCATCATAATCACATAATAACGATAGAACATAAGCAATGACTAAAATTCATAGACTCTACAATTGCAGCAATGACTGTCATTCTATCACTTCAACAATTTAGATATTCCTTAGCATTTAAACTGCTGTTTAAGTAAAATTCAAATCTATATTTACTCAAACTTTACCTCCTTATGCCAGTTTCACAGCACATTTTGACATACTATAGCATGACTGGCTTTATTTCCAAATACGTTAGCATCATTATATTGTACACAAGGGTATAGAATCCAGTCCTCAATATCTGATTTCTTCGAAGTATGGTGAAAATTAAATACTGGAAAGTGAATTTCCCAAATTCATTCTTAAAAAGAGTCAGCACAAGAATAATTTTCTGGCATTTACAAACAACCATCATAATATATTTTATTACATGTACAAAAGAATGTACTCATTAGCCAGACCTCATAATGACAGTTCATAAGAACGAAATAGTGCACAACACTGTGGGAAAAACATAATCACACGCATACTATCAAAATGAAAAGCACTTCCACTACAGCGATGGTATTTTCTCATGTCCAGCCATCCCTCACTTTGTATTTGGTGAATTAGGTCACATACCAATGGTCACTGCAAACATAGTATATATAAATAATATATCTATTTTAAATCCCTGCCGTATAAAACATCTTGGGGAGTGGGGGGATAACATATGAGACACAACCTACAATCTAAGGGACCTTCCTTCAGTATGCGAACTTCCATATTTTACTGCGGCTTAAATAGGCCATGAAATGTCAGCCTTGTCATATACTTTAGAAAAATATATGCAGGGACACATCCTATTACATTTACTTAAAATTCGCTTATAATTCCGAACAAATATATTCTGGTTGTTAAAATCAGTCAATATCCAACATATAGTTCAATACATATTTGACGTTTATGATAATTATTTACCTGAAAGCTTTTAATTTCGAATACTTTTGATGTGAGCCGTAGAACATTCTGCGGAAGACTCCGCGACGAAAAGGTAAGCATACCAGCCATCACTGGTAAAGGACAAAATTAACACACTCCACTTCTGTTGGCAAGAAACAGATCCAAGGGACCCAACAATGCTACCAACTTACGTATGTACAGGGATTAGTCAAGACAGATCACAGATGCTTAAATCCGAAACAACTTTGCACCAGCCCTATGTTGCTACCACCACCGACACACGTAAAGGTCCTTGGTCTAACCAATAGCCCAAACGATAAGAACCATCTTCGATTTGGAACATTGGGCCGCATTATCTAGGCTCATTAAATTCCTATATTATTCTATTAAATTACTAGACAACTTTAAACAACTCATCAGAAAACAATGAAGCCACGGATCGGAAACGAATCGACAAACGTAGTGGTGCATCCTCTTTGTGGTAAATTTATAAAATCAAATTATATCGGCCAAGATAGGTTATCATGAGGTGAATTAATTATTAAAAAATATTTCTTGTGTGACGGCAAACTTCCCGTGTTTATTTGAATCAACAAATGATGACACGGATCACTAGATAATTCCGACATGCAAATCTATGCTAATCACGAATCACTGATCAGGGTTTCCATGCCACGGGTCACAAAATGTAGTGTTAGCCTGGCAATCCGATTGGGAAATAAAATCAGCTGACGGTTTTGGATGGAAGGAGACGAAGAGGTTAAGGATGAATAAAGTGGCTTGTGTACAAACAATTTAGACCTCCAGTGCGAGTATAATAATGACTAAAAGTTACAGAATTTTTTTGAAACTTTTAGAACAGTGGTCAGTGGATTCAACCAAAGTAGGCAGGTATGTGAGTTGATTATAGGACGCGTATACCAACGTAGCCTAGATGTTTCACAACCTTCACAACCTTTGTTAGGTTTAAAAAGGTAAAGGCACGCCGTGAGTCCTGGCCTGCGTGTGGTGGTGTATATCCAGTGTTCTTAAACTTTGGCACTAAATATAGGTGAGTGGTTATTGTCACTCCTGAGCCGCATAATACCCTGGGATATGGACTTTTGTATTCATTGAATAGAGAATATTGGGAAAGCCAGTTTCATTGGATGCACGCTCGCGAGCCTCGCAAGGGGGCATCTTCCTTTCCCTCCGGAAAATGAATACCAACTTACTGGCCGCGCAGCCTATTGCCTAATCGCGATACTGATCGGGATATCAGGCTTTTGTTGTTTATATACCAATTTGCCAGAATGTTGTGGTTGAATCAGTTGTTTTGTGTTTAAGAGTTTCTTGTACCTCACAGTTCATAAATCAGAAAGACTTGAATAGAATTATTAGGCTATGTGAGAAACCAAATAAGCTACAGTTCATATAAATTTTTAATAACATCACACAAAAAGACTGAAAATATGTCAAACGAAAAAGTTGTAATTAGTTTAAATTAATTAGTTCCAGCCAAGTGAATAGAATTATTTTGGTTTCTTTGTTATGAGACTTGTTCAAAATTTGAAATGTAATGTAGTATAAATGGTTATTTTTAGCGTTTGAAAAATTATATCTATGGCTGCTTATGCCCCACTTTCTCACACTATCAGAATATGTGGTATATGCTGCATACAGTTTCCTTCATACTTGAGATTTATGTACCACTGCATGCTGTTAGATAGACTCAATGAAAAGTGAAATATTGCTGATTACAGAATTGTAGGAAGGTACCACATCTGTCTTTCCAGAGACCATACATCAACTGTCAACCCAAAGAACTCTGGGAACTGTGTTCGACACAGCCAGTGACATCATACAACAATCCGTTCCTACCCCCTTTAGATTATTCTGCATTTAAAATCTTTTAACCATTTATGACCACATCAAGGTTTCTGCCTTAGATTTTGCCATAGTGAAACGCATGAAGAGTGCAGTACAATAATTTTGTTTCAGGGATCTTGGACAACATATCCGGGAACAAGTAAAAACAGCATTTAAAGCAGGAGAAGTATACCCTTGGGATGAAAATGAATGTAATAGAATACATGCTAGTCTGAAACGGCTAGCAGACAATCGGTATGGTCAGATGTATCCAAGGAGCTCTAAATCCTCTGCTTCTGGATTATCAGCTGATGAATGCCATGCAGTTCTGTCAAATGAATTTCTAGAGGAGTTAAAGAAATCAGAACAAGGCTTTTTCTCAAAATTGTTTTATACCAAAACATAAGATGACTGCAATTTTAAGAAAAATACCTAAGTTTAAAAATATATGTCATTACATACATTTTGGGATATTAACAAGAACATTTAGTCAAAAAGAAGTTGTAAAAAAGGAAGAACTTCTGCACATCCCAGTTATGGTCAATGAAGTGCTTGAATGTCTTCAACCTGAGGCTGGTCAGACATTTATTGATATGACTTTTGGTGCTGGCGGACATAGTCAACGAATATTGGAATCTGCTCCTGACATCAAACTCTTTGTTTTGGATCGAGACCCTGTATCTTATTCGATTGCTAGAAGACTTGCTGACAGATTTCCTGGTCAAGTTGAGCCATTACTTGGGAGATTCAGTGAATTACCAGTATTACTGAAGTCACATGGAATTAGACATAGTAGCATCGATGGCATACTTTTTGATCTTGGATGTTCTTCCATGCAGTTTGATGTTGCTGAAAGAGGATTCTCTGTGAGTAAAGATGGCCCCTTAGATATGAGAATGGATGGTGGCCGCTTCCCAGAAGAGCCCACAGCAGCTGATGTATTGGCTAAAGTGGATGAAGTGGATCTTGTAAAAATACTGAGAGTGTATGGGGAAGAGAAACAAGCCAAGAAGATTGCACGAGCTGTGATGGAGGCTAGATACACCTTTAAGAAACTAGAGACTACTAGTGAACTAGGAGATCTTGTAGCATCAGTGTGTGTTGATGAAGAGAGACTGGACAAACTACAGAGACGTGTTCATTCTGCAACAAAGACATTTCAGGCACTCAGAATATTTGTAAACAATGAAGTTAATGAGTTGAACTATGGAATGATAGTTGCTGAGAAATATCTGAAGGTCGGAGGTAAATTAGTGACACTAACGTTTCATTCATTGGAAGATCGAATTGTGAAGCGTCACTTGTTAGGCAATGTAATTGATAACGCCATAAATCCACTTCCTTTAAAATATACCAATGTGTCTCTTTGGTATGACAGAAATGAAGTGGATAGTTTACTTCACTCAAATTGGAAACTTATACATAAACATGTCCTTACTCCAAGTGTGGAGGAAATTAGCACCAACCCAAGAGGTCGCTCAGCAAAGCTTAGGGCTGCAACTAAAGTAATACACCCAAATGTTTAAATATGTTGCAAATAAAAAATAATATACTTATAAAGTAAAAAAAGGTAAAGGTAAAGCTATCCTTGTAACAGGCTGTAGAGGCCCATAGGGTTTGAGAGACATTAAGACTCCCAAGTTTTCTAGACAGTCTGTCTTACAGATGGCATTAAGGTTGCCAGCCTTACACACCGACTGCCCTTTAGCTCCTAGGAGGATTCCTGGTACTCCTGCTGAGTCGACACCAGGTTCATAGTGCACCTGGAAGGTTAGGTCAATTAAAAAAATCCAGCAGCTTCATGGGGAATCAAACCCTCAACGTTGCGGATTGTAGCATAGTGCTTCAACCAACTACACTACCCCATGCCCAATTCTTATAAAGTATATTGAGAAAATAGGTTTCTGAGATCCTGTTATATCTTTGATGACTGTAATGTAGGACTCATAATACAGGCAGTGACACGTAATGTGTTTCAGTAATAGTACTATTGCTTTTTTTTAGTTATGTTTTGCTGACTATGGGTGTGCTTTCTGCATGAGAGTCAGAGATCAGTGTGATAAGTGGAAGAAAGTTAATTATGTGAGTAATTATGTTATGTACAAATAAAGAATGAGTATAACGAATTGCGAACCGATAATTTACTACTGAGCATATCTTTATTATTAGCAGCTCTGTGTATGTATGACACTCTTTTGCTTGCTGTGGGAAGATATGGCCAGGATATTCTTACTGCCATTCATTTATAGTATTTTCTCTTGCCATGTATCTGTGAATATAAAGACTAGAATACAGTTTATAAAAATAGTAATTCTATGTACTGTTTTATATTCATATTAAACATAGTGTCTGTAAAGGAAGAACATAATTTGAGGATATTTGAAAGCAAAGTACTGAAGGAGGTGTTTAGTTCTCAAAGAGATGAAGTAATAGAATACTGCGTGATAGGATTTCATGACTTATATGATGGTGAAAGTGAAAGAGAGGTACATCTCAGCTGGAAAATCTTGAGTAAACATTTGGGAAACCTAAATGAGCTCATGAAAGTCTAAATTTGAATGAACTGGCTCAGGATGGGATTGTATAGACAAGTGTTGTGTGAAAGGATGGAATTTCTGTCCTGTATGCAAGATATAATCTTCCTAGCTGTGAAGTATATTCCATCCCACGTGAGAGTTTCCTGCAGATTTACTTGTGTAGGATTTGAGGTTCTCATTGTGGCAGTTATGAAGAATTCTATTTTCTTGGATATGACGCCTTGTAGGCCACTGAAAGCCCACCGACCTTTCAGAGGAAAATCGAGGTGACTTGTTCATAGCACCACCTCCAACAAATAATAATAATAATAATAATTTCATCCGGTTAGGGGGTTTGCATCATTTACAACATCTCTCTTTGGATTTCAAAGAATTTAAGACACAAACTCCAATTAAATTCAACATGAAACTGTCTGATGAAGTCCTTGAATGTAACATGTGAAAAGTAATTTAATTTCTTATTTGTTACATTTATGCTTATGGTTTTTCTTTACATACATTTTGAAAATATAAAACTGAATTAAGATAAGATGCAAGGAACCATCCATTCTTATAAAGGGCAAAACGTATAACAAAGTCAGAGACAGAGTTATTACCCACAGGTGTAGTTCCTAACAAACAAAACTGACCCCAAAACTAACAGTTTCTTACTTTCTCAAGAAATTTCCTGCCATTTAATGAATTAAAAGGTTCATAACTGTGTTCCTCAGAGCCTCTAAATGGTCATGACATTGAGTATACTTCTTTGAGATCCATTTCAATATTATTCTCCAATTTATACCTGAGTTTCATGTGTGGCTTATTTCCTTCAGGTGTTCCAACCAAAATCTTGCATCCATTGTTCATTATTCTCAAGCAAGCTACATGCCCATCCACTTCATATGCCTTGATTTAATCACCCTAATAATATTTGCTGAAGAGTGTAAATTATGTAATTCCTCATTATGCAGTTTTTCCACTCTCCTGTTTCTTCCTTCCTCATAGTTCCAAATATTCTCCTCAGCACCTTATTCTCAAACACCCTCAGTTTATGTTCGTCCTTTTTTATGTGAGAGACAAAGTTCCACACCCATACAAGACAACAGGTAAAATTATAGTTTTGTATATTTAAGTATTGAGATTTTTAGACAGGAGGTGGAGACAAAAAGGTTGTGAACTGAGTGGTATGAGAATTCACAGAATTTAATCTACTCCTGATGTCTTCATGAGTTCAATTTTAATTTGTTACCATCTTTCCATCATCATCAACAGTAATCTGTCAGANCTGTTCTCCATCCTTCTCCAACACCACATTTCAAAACTTTCCAGATGTTTCTGATCTACTGCCCTAAGTGTCCATGTTTCAGCCCCATACAGAGCTATGCTCCAAATGTAGCATTTCACTAGTTTCTTCCTCAAATTTAAGTCCAATTTGCTGGTAAAAAGATTCTTCTTCTTGCTAAATGCAGCTTTTGCCATGGCAATCCTGGATTTAATTTCACTAGTACACCTTCCATCATCTGTTAACAAGCTACCCAAATATTTAAAACATTTCACATTCTCCACTTGTTTTTGGTCTATCTTTATTGTGACTGGGGTTGGTTGTCTCAAAATTTTCATTATTTTTGTTTTCTCCACATTCATTTCCATGCCATAGCACCTTCCAGTTTCAATTAGTCTATCAATCATGCCCTGTAGCACAGTTTCTTCCTTAGCCATCAACGCAAGGTCATCTGCATATTTCACAGTTTGAATAATTTGCCCTCCCAATTTGAAGTCTCCGAGCTTTTCCATTTTATCCACCTGATAAGGTGGATTTTTTCAATTGACCTAATCCTTCCAGCCGCACTCTAGCCCTGGGGTCGACTCAGCCTCTAACAGAAATGAGTACCAGGAATCTTCCTGGGGGTAAGGTGCAGCTGGCACGTAAGGCTGACAACCTTACCACCTTCTGTGAGCCGACTGTATAAAAAATGTGGGCGCCTTGATGTCTCACAACCCTATGGGCCTGTACGGCCTGTTACAGGGATACCTTTACTTAATTACCATCTTTCCTAATGTTTGAACTCCCATACAATTTTTAAATTATACACTAGATGTCTTTATATTATGAATTTGTTCTGCATTTTAATGATACATGAAAATTTACTTGCTTCTCTCTCTGTTTACTTCTAAAACAGGCTCCTTACCAGCATTTAATAAGCTTCTGTGCTTTCTTTATGGTACAGCTTGAGTACCTTCTGTAACCGTCCCCTTTCTATCTTTGTATTTATTTGCCGGCTTCGGTAGACCACTGGACTTTCTCAGGACCGTGTCACGATAATAACTGAGGCAACAGGGAACTGCACATTTAAAACCAGTCCAGTTCTAGGAATCAAAGACACTACTTCTGCTCTTCACAAATTGTTTATTTCAGAAGCAAACACTATAACTTTATTAGCAAGTATGGCGTAATGTGCCCTTTTTATTATTATCAAAGATTAATCGAACCAAATAAAGACTGATAAATTTAGATAAACTTGGAGAGTGCAGCGCAATGACGTCTGCCTCTGATGGATTCAAAAACGCCAAGTCCTCTTGCCAACTCTATTCTGCGGGAGCATCGCTTCATCCCCTGTATAGAATTTGAACCGATGGCCTTTCTCCCAGACAAGAATAGTTTCCTGTTGGCTTATTTTAACTGCCAAATTCATCATACCATCAACACTAGACAATCACATAATGAACTTTGAGCATAAAGAGATCCAGAGATATTGAACCCAGAACCCCACATGTGAAAGCGGTTATTTCTTAGTTTAAGGTCCAATTACACCCTTCTGAAGACACTTTTATAACAGCTACACTATCAGCAAAACAAAATTTACATCTTCGGCAAACTACAGACTTGCCTCCCGTGGTGGCCTCTCTCCCTTTTCCAGTCACCCAAGCTGCAGGTAACAAAACAAGGCGGTTGTTTCTGTCCAGATGGGAAAAGCAAGTCATAACATGCTAATGAATCTGTATCCCCAATAAATCAGTCACTCTACTGAAATGGCTAAAGAGGACAATAGCGTCCATTGAAGAGTTGTAAAAGGTTTGGACTGTCACAGTTCTGCCACAGTGTATCAAGCAAGGGAAGGCTTTATAGATTTTTATGGTTTATAGATTAAATTATGCTGTATCAACTGAATGCCCCCACTGACACAGTGTATCAAGCAAGGGAAGGCTTTATAGATTTTTATGGTTTATAGATTAAATTATGCTGTATCAACTGAATGCCCCCACTGACACAGTGTATCAAGCAAGGGAAGGCTTTATAGATTTTTATGGTTTATAGATTAAATTATGCTGTATCAACTGAATGCCCAGGATTCATTTGAATGGGCAGATGACCATGAAAACTCTCTGTGAGGATAGTCAGTGATCTAACAAAAGCTGATGCTTGAAAATCTCTCAAGTGCAAGTCAGATATATAATAGTATGGGTGCACGTGCACGCACGCACACACACACACACACAGCATTTTTGTTGCAGAACTTTAAAATTTTATCTTTATGTAATGTGTGAAAAATAAGGTATTAAAAACAAGTACATATAATTCAATTGTTTACAGTGGACCATCTACAAGAAACAGTAATGCAGTGAACTTCCCTGACAACTAATCTGTTTGTATTACAGTATTAACAAAATATTTATTTTCAGTGTCTTTTCATTTGCATTATTCCTTCTGTCTTTTATTACATATATTGTAGCCTGTCAAGTTCTTGTTTCTGTCCATGAATTTAGTAACAAACAAGACCTCTGATAAACACACACAAACTTATAAAAAAGTAATAAAAAAAAATAATACATAACTTCAACATATGTGTTTTGAAAACAATTTCTGGTTCTTCAATGCCAATCCACAAACTTATATGGCTTTATTGCAGACTACCTTAATGAAAATGTAAGCAGTAAGATATTCCAGATTAGCTAATTATGTAATAAAAAGGTATATACAAATATGTAGATAAAATTCTCAGTCTTATTGGAAACTTTTGTAAAGCAGCAAAAAACTAAAATCGGATTATTAGT